GAGGCCGCATCCCGCCGCGCTCCCCGCGTCGGCCGCTCGGCGCCGTCTCTTCGGCATCTCCAAGGTAACTCGGAGGTCAAGCCCAGATTTGATCCGAGCGAGCCATGTGATGCGGGCAACATTTAGGAGAATCAGGTGATTTTTATTTTTCCTTTCTCACCCCCTTTTTGGGGGATTACGCGGGAGGTTTTGCAGCTGGGTGGCAGAAGAAGCATTCAGGTCCAGTTTGTGCCATCTCGGGCCCAACAAGGACCGACGCGGTCTCGTACGGACGCTCTGCCCGGCAGCGGCTCCGTGCCCAGGATGCCTCCCTGGAAGGGGTGGCCTGTGGGGATAACCGGGCTCACGGAGCGCACGGAGCTGCCCTTGCAAATCCCTCCGGCAGCTCCTCGCCCTGCACGGCCTTGTGCAGCGCTGGGCAAGTCCTTGCGTCTCCGGAGCCCGCGCGAGGCCGATCCAGCCCTTTCCGTGGGGAGCTGAGCCGGGATCCGCAGGGATCCCCGCGCACGAGGCCTGGGATGGAGGCTGCGACGCGGAGCCGGCGCTGCCCGGGCTCGGGACTCCCTCCGCCCCGGCGCAGGCCGCACATCAGCAGTTTGTTTGACGTGTTGTGGCTGGTCGGTCTCTTCGCCCGCTCCCCTGATCAGAGGGAATAAGCGCTGCAGTGTGCAGTAATGTTCGCTTTAGGTGAGGGTAAATATAGAAAGGAAAACCTGCTGAGAGCGAGCCATTTATTGCTGCGCTTGGAGCCCTCTGCTCATAAACAGTCAGTCATTCCCATTTGGAAAATCCCCGCGTGGTTTTCTTGGCCAGCCGAGAAGAACGTTTACTTTCCTGTAGGTTAAGAAGTACATTTTAAATTAAAAAATGATGATAATGGCATCTCGCTTCCAGCTGCCCTCGGGCGTTTGGGGCTTGGTGACCGCTCTGCTCTCCTGCAGAACCAGCCTGACGCGGGAGCATCCTGCAGGGCTTCCCCCACCAGCCTCCGCGGGTGAGGGTTATCCCTGATTTTTCCTTGTCCCCCGGCTCATCCTGAGTGGGGTCAGTGATCCCAGGGCAGGGTTTTGCCGCGGCTCTTGCTTTGGGGTCCCAAGCGCTGGTGGCCCGGGGGTGTTTGGCACATTTGGGGTCACTCTGCGTTTGTGAGCGGGAGGGATGAGCTGTGCCGAGCTCCGCGGTGCCAAATCCACCAGGGAGCTCCCTGGGCCGCACGGAGCAGCCAAGCTGCCCATCGGCTGCGGGAAGCCCTTGTCCCTGTGCTCGGGTGCTGCCAGAGAGGAAAAAAATCCCCAAAATCCTACCAGGGGAGAGGGGCAGGAGGGGACACCCGCATGCACCGGAATTGCAGCGGGATCAGCGGTCCCGCTTCTTGCTCCCTGCAGCCGAGAAGGGTCTCTCCGTGTTTTCCAACAGCCTTCGGATTTGGC